TCTTGTGCTTTCCCTTCCCTCCTTGCCCCCCTTTTGGACAAGCCCAGGAGGTCCCTTGTCACTGCCAGGGTGACAAAGATCTTCAGTGCTCAGAGGCTGTGCCTTGGAGGGTATAATTAGCAACTCATTAGGTATGCAAGCTGCACATTAACTCTCCACAGCCCAGAGGGGGAGCAGAGCTGCACTACCCACAGCAGACAAAGGAGGGTGGGTGGAGGGCTGGGTGGGTTTTTGTTCTCAGGGGTGGGTGCCAGGTTTTGGTGTGGAAGCTCAGAGAGCAGAAGGGATCTTGTAAGTCTTTGGAAGGGATAAAATGATTCTGTGCTTTCTGGGGTGCTGAGCTGGGACAATGAGAACACTGTCACGTGGTCCAGGTGGGACAGGCAGCTCTGGGTTCAAATGTGGCTTTCTAGGTGGAGGATCACAGAAGTGGTTTGGTTGGAAGAGGCCTTTAAGGTCATTGAGTTCAACCCTTCCCCCATCCCTGCCAGGTCCCCACTGCCCCGTGTCCCTCACACCACATCTCCAGGGCTTGGAAACCCCTCCAGGGGTGGGGACTCCACAAGGGCACAGCCCTTGCCAGGAAGAAATTTCCCTTCAGGTCCAACCTAACTGTCTCCTGGTGTAATTTGAGGCTGTTTCCTCTTGTCCCTTGGGAGCAGAGCCCGACCCCCCCCCTGGCTCCAGGCTCCTGTCAGGAGCTGTGCAGAGCCAGAAGGTCTCCCCTGAGCCTCCTTTGCTCCAGGCTCAGCACCCCCAGCTCCCTCAGCTGCTCCTCCCCACACTTGCCCTCTAGACTCTTCCCCAGCTCTGTTGCTCTTCTTGAGTGACTTTCTGGACTAGAATCCTTGTGAGATTTTTCACTCCCCAACAGAACTGAATCTTTGGTGTCCCAGCTCAACCCTCGGTGAGCGTGGTGGTTGCCACTGACATCATTGCTCCTACCTTCTGTGCTTCCCATAGACCCTTCCATGGTGCTACAGATGGTTTTTTACTTCACAGTTTGTCCATAACTCTCTCCTCACTTAGACCTTAAGCCAAGAACTACAACTTGAAGCCTTTGTAGGAGCAAAGTGTAACTTAAGGTATCACCAGCAACCGGAGAATCACAGAGTCAAAAAATTCTTCAGGTTGGAAGAGCTGGAGCAGAGCTGGAGGATTATTGATGGTTTATTTAGCAACAAATCTAGTTGTCCAGGGGCACTGGAAGTGTTTTTCTCTTTCAGGTTGCACATAGGCAAAGGGGTGCAGCTGGAGTGCAAAGGAGAAGGGGACGTGTGGGTTCGGTGCCTCAGCGACCACGCTGTCTTCGTTCAGAGCTACTACCTGGACAGGGAAGCAGGACGTGCCCCAGGGGATGCTGTCCACAAGATCTACCCCAGTGCATACATCAAGGTTGGTTCTGTGCTCCTGGGTGAAAATTTGGGGGGGGGGGGAAAGAGCAAACATCTGGAATCTTCATCTTCTAGAAGCTCCAAGACGCTAAAATAGAACTTGACTTTTGATGCTCTTTAAAAAGAGCATCAAAAAACTTTTAGAGCATCTCTAAAACTTTCCATTTGATAAGTCCTTTAAGATGACATTTTAAAATGACTTTAAACTCCATGTATCATCTTGATGCTACAAAAGTCCCTGATTTTGTGTCTTTTCATAATCATGATACCAATTTTTTTCTATTTTTAGCCTTTCAGTTTTAAAATAACTGCACCTCAATTTTTTTTAGCCTAGGTTAACTTGTTTTTTAATAAAAAGAAGTATAAAATCTGACCAAATAGAAGCCAAATCTTTGGCTTCTATTATTTAGATGTCTGTTTTCTGGAAACTCTGGGGTTTAACAAAAAAAAAAGTGAGGGTTTTATCAGCCTTGTAGCATCCTTCAGACTTATCCTGCAGTTGGTTCTGCTTGTGCTTGCTCAGCCAAGTTCTCTGCTGATAACATATGAGAAGAGTCTCTAAGAATCAGCTTTAATGGATTATTTGATGATTATTTGATTTAATGGATGATTATTATAGTCAGGGAAGAACAGCTTTTACCCACGTGTATGAGGAGACTGTAGAAGTTGCTTTGGGAGACCAGGGAAAGCCACAGAGTTTTGCTGGGGTTCCTCTTCAGCTTTGTGGAGAAGTAAAATGCATTTCCTAGAAGTCATAAGGGGAAAAAAAAAAAACTACTCTAAAAAGTCACTGGAAGTCTCAAAATCACTCCTCTGAATCCATCTTTGTGCTTCAGATTGCCCCCACCCTTGGCCACGTTGAACTTGCTGAGGTTGCCACGAGCTTATGAAGTTCAACAAGGCTTTAAGGATGAGAGTTGAGGGATTTTTTGTCTGTCCCTTCATTGATTTCACCTCCAGAGTTTGATTTTTAAACCTTCTCTTTGTGTTTTTTCCTCAAAAGGTGTTTGATTTACGCCAGTGTCATCGTCAGATGCAACAACAGGCTGCCACTGCCCAAGCTGCTGCTGCTGCTCAGGCTGCTGCAGTAGCTGGGAACATCCCTGGACCAGGATCAGTAGGTGGAATAGCCCCAGCCATCAGTAAGTACAGAACTCCCTCAGCCTCCTTTCCTTCACTGGTCCCAGTAAACTCAACTGTGGTGGCACTGGGCTGGCATCGAGGTTCATCCCCACACCACTCGGTGGCCTCCAGGAGATGTTGGATGTGGAAGTGGCTGCTGCTTGTCCTGGGAGAAGTGTCACAGTACAGCAGAGAGCTTGTTACCTACCAGCTCAAAGAGCATAACTCTATTAAACAGAGGTTTTTTGGCAGCTTAGACCCGAGCTTGGAAAATGATCTTGGAGATTTAACCTCCTAAAAATGTGACACCAAACAAGGGGTGACAAAATCCTTGGCCAGGTTGGGGAAAACAATATGAAGATTCTTCAGAAGAGCACAGGAGGGTGTTTTTATCTTTATATCTTTCTTTTTATTTCTTTTTTAATTTCAAGTTCTTCTCCTCTAGATTTTTTTTTCTTTAAGTTACAAAATTCTAAATCCTTGAAATTGTCCCTAAGTGCTTGTAGCCAGCTAAGAACTTAAATCTCAGGCCACTCTCTGTGGCCTTTCCAGCTTCCTCTTATCACCACAAGGCTCTTGCCAGCTCTCTACAAATTCCTGGAGGCATTTTGAGGCACCTTTTCTTCCTTTTTGCCTTAGCCCTGCTTGGGATTTGAAGTTTGCCAACTGGTTTCATCTTTATTTTAATAGCTGTAAGTCGTGTCATTCACTCATCCAGCTTCCTGCAGCTGCTCAGGCTGAGTCCTTAGGCTGAAAAGGCAGCATTTGGCAAACCACAAGAATAAGTATTTTTTTTTTCCTGTGTTTTCTAAATAGCATTGACATGTTTTATACCCTGGGAGACACAGAGTTTCATCCCACCTCCTCATAAAGGAGTTTTAGCTTTCCCCTTTGAGATGGGGCAAAAAAAAAGACCAAATTGGAAGAAAGGCCAAAGAATTGCTTCAGGGCTCTAGAAACAGGGCTCAGCCTTGCCCGTGGCGAGAGGGCTGGAGCAAGAGGAATGCTTTCAAGCAGCAAAAAAAACCCCAAAAGAACCTTTTTTCCCCCCTCTCAACATTGACTCCAAACCTCTTCCCCCTTCAGGTCTCTCGGCCGCCGCCGGCATCGGCGTCGACGACCTCCGCCGCTTGTGCATCCTCAGGATGAGCTTTGTCAAAGGTTGGGGCCCCGACTACCCCAGGCAGAGCATCAAGGAGACCCCTTGTTGGATTGAAATCCACTTACACCGTGCCCTCCAGCTCCTAGATGAAGTCCTTCATACCATGCCTATCGCAGACCCACAACCTTTAGACTGAGCCCCTTCCCCTTCCCTTTCCCGCCGCGGGCCCCGGTGTCGTGAGGATGGTGGATTGTAAAATAAGAGTCTGTGGATAACCTGAAGATCTCTTTTTTTTTTGTTTTGTTTTGTTTTTCCTTTGGTTCTGCTTTAAATCTTCTTCAAAAACCAGGTTTTAAAAATGCGTTTGCCGCCTTGCTCTCAGCAGAAACTGAACGTGCCAGAAATGGGGATTTGGGTTGGGTTTTTTTTTCCTCCAAGGGTTTTTGCAGCTCTCAAGAAGCCGTGGCTCAGAGCTTCAAGGAAAGGCCTTATAGAGACTTTGACAGGGTTGGGTTTGTGCCCTGGGCAAAGCTTTTTTTTTTCCTTCTCTAGGCTGGCATCTGGGTGATCAAGCCTCACAGGAGCCTTTTGTACGCAGAATATATCTTCTATATATATATATATTTATATCTGAAAATTCCTTCTAATAGTTATAAACATTTACCTTAGAGCAACTTGAAAATTCCAGCTGATTGGTGATGTTCTTT